CTGAAAAAGGTTATATAATTTGGATAAATCTCAACTACGGAATGGGTATTTTGATAACAGAAGAATATAAAATTTTGAAACTTTTAGATAATTTCAAAAATTTATTTATCCAAACGAACATTTCATAATTCATATTTATTCCATACTTTTCTAAAGAGTCATTTTTATGCATTTCACACGAATTATGAAAATTTTACTACATACGAATATATGCCATGGTTAATATATCATTAATAATTGTACTGAATTATTCACAAGACCAACTTTTGAGTTGGTTCGGGTCTTAACATGAGTTGTTGCTAAGGTGGTGCTAAATCATGAATTTAATTGTATTTTCTTGACAAGCACTAATCAAGAGAATGATTACACAAAGCATGAGGTCCTTTTTCCATATATTTAGATAAACATTGTGAAATGTTACAATCACACAGTTATATATCATTTTATAATATTAAAAGCTTAGGGGATTCATGTGTTCCTTGAATCCATTGCAGCTCTAGGCAGCGTTACGAGCACCCTAATTCACCACCAAGGGACTTGATGAACTGATCATGCCTTGGCTTCCCATATTATCTATGCTAGATTTTGTATATATCACATGCGCGTTTGTGTCTATGAATATATATACAACTTATAAAAGAATATAGTTGACGTTTTGTATTTTTAAAAATGGGAGTAGAGAAATGAGAGTTGGCAAGGTATGACTTTGAAGATTGGAAATGGAAACTGAAAAGTCAAGTCTCTTATCTTTTACATACATAAAAAAAATGTCGTGGTTTATCCTAATCCCTTTCAACACTTTTGTCCTCGGCAAGAAATTACAAATATCAGGCAGATACTTAGGCACCAATGATACTATATTCACCGATCCTCCATATCCAAAATCAACTTCGTCTAACAATCCCATTTGTCTCCAATCAGTGAATAGCATGAACGCTCCGTTACCTCCTCCACACATTGCCTTCACCTTCAAGCTTCTCTCTATATCTCTTAGCTGCTCATGCACGTACTTCTTCTCCATCGCGGCTCTCTTGGCTTCTTTGATGAGTTTCACAACGCTAGACAACGGCGAGTTGCTTAGCTCTCCAGCCTTCATAGCTACGTTGGCTTTGACAAATGCGTTTCCGTAGTAGCCTTCTTTTAACGGTGGCTCTATAATTCTGCGTATACCTACGGCCATTCCGAAAAGCGTAGTCCCGTCTGGACTCAGCTTTAAGGCTAGACACCTTGCTTTCCATACGTGGCCGCAAGAATCTCTAGAGTCGTCACCTCCTCAGAAATGTTCTTCTTGAGTTGAGTGATGTCTTGGGATGTGACGTTAAGGATCTCACAGACCATATCGTGAGTTGGTGTGTAGGGAGAAGTTGCCACCGTAGAGCAAGCTTCCACGAAATCAACCAGCTTGGGAGCTTGTTCCTCCTCCACTTGCCCTAKTTACACAAATGTTAGTTAATAGTTGTCTCACATATGAAAATAAAATTAGTTGAAAGCAATATATAAGGGACATGAATCAGTTTATTTATTGTCGACTAGTTTTTAAGTAGAAACTCCGAGATGTTTT